TTTCAAATATTCTATGAGGATTTAGATGTATTTTTGTATCTTTTATTTACAATGCATCATTATAATACAAATCTGATCAAATTAATTTTGCATTTTACACTTTTTTAAGGTATGTATTTGTTATTTCTTAACTTCAGTCAATCAATATTTTATGGTGAATGTGAGCACGGGGCATAGATTGTGTCAATCATAGTATTTAAAAAAAAAAAATTCCAGCCCATCTGCAATTATTATATGGTTGGTGGGATTGTGCACACATTTTGCCCCTGATGTTTCACAGCGAAACACATTTATGTGGCAGGTGCGCTGTCAAGCTTTCCCCGGTGCCTCTCCACATGCATGCTGCCATTCCTCATGCAAATCAGAACAATGCTTACAAAGCCCTTTGAAGGAATTTACATGAATAATATAAGAGCTCAAAGAGATCTGTTACAGAGAGGAATACGTTACCAGACTTGGCAAGAATCAAATTTTTTTTGAGAGCCGTATGTAAAGTAAATGGCAGATTTTTCCTCGTTTTTTATTATTAAACCATGATGTTTTTTTCAGTTAAAAGTAAACACTTTAAAGTGTCTTCCAAAGTGGCTTGCAGTATATAGGAATGTACAGGTAAACAAGACCTAAATAGAGATGAACAGATGTAGTATTGGGATTTCAATCACTTCTGTCGGCATTCGTGCTAATTGGAAGCAGGTGTATTTTAACTGAAATATAAACTGCTTATTTCAGCAATTGACATAGTTGATTTACTGTTCTGGGTGGCATTTAGACAAAACCAGATGGGCAGTGGCAAAGGGCCCCCAAGTCTTTGGGATTGATTTACTAACCTTATAAACACACCACGAACATGTATACACCTCTGTAGTGTGTTCTCTCCCAGCATGATCTATGGGTGGAATCTAAACACCTTTGTAGTGTGTACACACCCAGAAGGTGTGTTGTGCAAAGCCAAGCATGAATTGCAAGGTGATGTTGTGTAAATTAGCTCTATGTTGTGTTGCTTGCGTTGATGAATGCAAGGAATGTAAATGCATGAGCTAACCATTTTTGTCTAAACTGTGAAGCAGCATTATATATGCATCATGTGCATGATTTTTCCATATATGGCATTAGTGGAAATATGCTTTTAGAGACTTTTTGGTTGATAAATACGTTTTGCTGTGTAAAAATCACACGCACCTAGTGCATGCGTGTGTTTAGGTTAGTAAATCACCCCCTTTGTGTCACTATTGGGTTGATTTACTATAGGCAAATGGGCTGTTTACTTTGCAAGGAAATTTTCCTTTAGGTGAAAACTCACTTTGCAAAGAATACCTAATAACATGCATGGAATATGAAAAAAAAAATATTTTGACTGGCATATGATTGGCTGATGGAAGTCAGCAGAGATTCACCTAATTTACTAAGCCAAGGGAAAATCCCCTTACAAAGCGAACAGTCTAATTGCCTATAGTAAACCATCACCAATATCTCTATGAAAAAGAGCTATGACTATTCTACCAGGACCCCTTCTCCATGCACTAGTCGGCTACATGGGCTGCTTGTACTGAGATCTGGTGGACACATTGCCGGCTGCCAATAGAAGTATATACAGCTGACAAACCTCAGTAGAGTACCACGCTCAGCCAGTTAACTGAGAAGTGGTATAAACATAGCAGGAGTCAGAGATTTTTTATTATTAGGGTGGCAGAGTACTGTGCTGAAATTTGAGAGATTGTATCGTCAGACTTCCGTTTGTGTCTCTTGCCAAACAAATCAATAGGAATGCAAAAGCATCTTGAAGCAGGTTGATGCAGCTTAGAAGGAGACCAAATGCTGATTATAAGGTGACCACCTGTCAATTAACTCTGAGTTGTTTCAGAAGAGTCTCAAACTTATGTCAAATGCAAGTGAAAAGCACCTGATAGAATGCTGCATTCGCCCATTGAGACAAGCCCAAAGTTATAATTTCTGTTACATTTGAATTTGCATAGAATTATTGTGGGTAGATCATGGCAAATATGCAGTGAATGTGGTGAGTGGTTGCAAGATAAACTCTCAGTACTACAGTGTACTGAATTGTTATGAATCAAACAGGATGTAGAAAGTTTTGATTTAGCACATTATTTAATTGTCTGTCTTTTTAAATGGCCTTTTATATTATTGTTTTAATATACAAATATTGCAATAAGTGTGCGTTCCTATTTAGAAATGTCTATGTAATGTTCATTGGCTTACAATGATTGAAATCCAATTTCTTTATATTGTTTGTTGAATTAGTTGACTAAATCAGTTCTGTATATTTTCCCTCCTAATTTTCCACACTTATTTTGCATACAATATTTGACATTTTATATGATATTTATATGTTGCCCATTGTTGTCTGAATATATAAAATACATTTAATTAATTTTGTTTGCAATTAAAAGAACTTTCCAGTTTATACATAAGAATTGTATTTCAAATCCAATGTAACAGCCTGGAGATGTACCCGTGTATCTTTTCTATTGTAGTGAAATAAAACTGTTGGGATCAGCAAAACAAAAACTGCTGTGTTAATGTTAGTGACAGACTGCATCATATTTTGATTTGGCCCATATTTACATGTTAATTGTCTGGAAGCACAAGAACTAAAACTGAGCACTTGGCGCTCTGCAGTGATGTCACCCTGGTATCCCAGGGTATCCTTGGTAGGCCTCATTCACACACAACGCAAGCAAAATTGTATATTGCGTATATATACGCATCTATACGTGTATATACGAGTGTCTATGTGCGTATATGCGTGCACTATATGCAATCCCAGAATGCATCACTTGTAATGGAATTTTTAATGCGCTGTATGCATGTACGCGCGTAAATGCACGTAAACACGCAGAAATACGCTGCCCAGACGCATCTCTGTTCCATTCTGTTTTCGCGCATATATACATTACGCAAATATACGGCTCCATACACGGCTATGTGTATGGAGCCATTTATTTTCATATGTTGCATATGGTACAATACGCACGTATATGTTGCATATGGTACAATTCACACTGCCGCCCATTATATGCGCGGCAGTGTGAATGAGGCCTAACAGTATATCCAGCCAGTAGATCCATTATTGTTCTACTTCCTTTAACAGGCCAGGCTGTCCAGCAAAAGAGGCAGTTACAGGGTTGTGAAAAACCATAATACATTGGTGGGGTGCTTACAATGGCCAGGTTTTATTTATGTGGCTTAGATGTTTTTTTCCAAATCAGTTGATGTGCCTACTTAAAAAGTGTTGGCTGGAGATAGGCCTTTAATTTGTTTGTCCTTTACTTAAAAAGGAAGCTTGCAGTGATATATTAAAGCCTTTTTTCTCTTTCTTTTCCATCTGGTAAATCTGTGAATAATAACACTCTTGTTGTCCCTGGATGGCTACACTTACTCTTAGATAGGTGGTGAAACATCTTCAAAGTCCATCTTCAGTCAAAACCTTATGCCCCTTCCACCAATCTCTCACCCACTCTGTAGATTCTTTTTAAAATATCTGATGAAGCCAAGTTTTTCCTACCTATGTCTGCCATTTCAAGGTGCAGTGGACCGGTAATCCATTGCTGCACAAGTGCCCACATCCAGCTGATCTTCTTTTGCTGGTACCACCGCTGGAATTCCTCTTCTGGATCCTGAAAGGACTCCGCTGGACAGACATTAGGATGTGTCCACATAAGGTAGCCCATGACATGGAAGCTCGAAAGAAAAACCACACCCTCTGTACATAGAAGAAGAGAGAAGACCAGAACATTACATGACCACAGATTTAGGTGAGTAAAAAGGGCATTTAGGAAGCCGTTTTTTGTTAATTTTAATGGCATCGATTAGTTTGAGGGAGTGGAGGAGGTGAACAGGGCAGCGGGCTGGGGTGAGACTTTAACTTAATATGTCAAACTGAATGTGGTAAACTATTTATTGTAGGTATTTATATAGCACCGACACTTTAGGTAGCGCTTTACATAGTTGCACATTCACATCAGTCCCTGCCCTCAAGGAGCAGTCCCTGCCCTCAATCTAAGGTCTCTATCTCACATCCATACATTCAGGGCTGATTTAGACAGGGGCCAATGAACCTTTCAACATGTCTTTGGAGTGTGGGAGGAAACCGGATTACACAGAGGAAACAGACATAATCAATACTGTGAACCAAGGGCAGTGTGATTTCCCAATACTGCCCTGCATAGGTTTTCATGTCTAGGGCCAGGCAGGCTCTTGTAAGCTTGGAGCATAGCTTATCAACAGTCATGCGGTATACAGGTTGACTACCAAACAATTCCAAGCATTAACTTAATAAGTCAAACTGAGTATTATCACCAAAACAAGAATTGAGGAGAAATCACCTTAGCGGGTCCTCAGATATAAAAACTTGACAGAGTTACACTTTGATACATGTAAACTCACAAACTAACACAACATCTTTTGCTTCTACAATCCCTGCAAAGACAGTCAGCATGAAGTTGTTTGAGTTGGAGGGGTTTTGACTCCAACAAAAATAGTCTATTTGTAGTGCACATGACTGCTTAGGAAATACAGCATACTGATGGCTTTTCCATTAAAAATGATAGTAAAATATAGAGAATGCATATTGTTTTTGCCACCTCATATGAGTCTGCATGTTGTCACTTGATAGGAGTTCAGAAGGCACATCGCTTCCAGTTTATGACATTTAGAGGCAGCAACCCAGAAGCCATGGAAAAGACGTACAGTTGCTGCAGGCACAGAGAACAATGTATGTTGTGAAAAGAAAAGACTGCATGACTCGGGGCAGTTTTGTTCATTATCATCAGTTCTGTCTGTTTAAAAACATAAATTACCCTGAGATGCAATGCAAGTCGCGATGCGATGGCATATCTATAACAATGTATACATGGAAACACAATTAGTGCTAGCTGAGTGCTAGGGTTAGATTAATAAACTTGTCAGAATGCCAAAAAGCATAAACTGGAATTAATTATGTTAATAAATGTTTTCTCTCGTGTTCTTTCTCTCATGCACAGCTCTCCAGCTCCCACCAGGTGGCGTTGTCCTCCATCAGTTACATTGGCTGCTCCCTGTCCATTTTCTGCCTGGCAATTACACTGGTCACATTTGCTATACTGTCGTGAGTAATTTTTCACATATTATTTTTTTTTCTAGATCCCTGCTGAGCAAATATTACTGTTTACAGACTATGTGAGATTTATATGCGTTCACACTGCAGACCAGCAAATGCACGTTAACTTTGGGATTCTCTCAATCATAAATACCATTAATTCTCACCAACCCTTTAACTAGATTTTGCCTATATATTTGCAACAGCTGGGTGGTTTTGCTCAAATTGCTTTAATTTCCTGATCAGAGGAGTTTTCCATTTGCTCTCATCACATGTTGTAGAGCTACTTTTTGTATTATCTTTGTTCAGCTGTCTTGGTGTGATGGAAAAAGCAAAAAAGTGCATGCCGTATTAAAGAGGATATTTTCGAATCACTATTTGTGTTTGGTAGACCATAAAATCACATCCGATAAAGAAAAAATAAAGTTGCATGTAAAATTGTGCAGTATAAATAGAATTTAAGCTTAAATCTGATTTTTATTTGCTTCCCTAACACCTGTAAAAATGTAGCTACAGGTGCTTGTAGTTTTGTTATGCAGAGTGAATGCAGCGCAACTAGCTGTCCCTTACACGAGTGTCTAAATAGCCACTCGATTATCTAACCCGAACAAAGGAACAGATTCTGTCATAGATCCACAAAGCAAACAGTACTTCCCTATAGTAAGCTTACAAAATAGCAAATAGCAAACTAGCAATGCATTCCTATGGCCAAAATGTTTTCTTTTTTTTTCTTTATTCTGACACGGAGCTGTGTCAGAATAGAAAAATAAAATAAAACATTTTGGCCATAGGAATGCATTGCTAGTTTGCTATTTCAAATTGAAATAGCCAATAGGAATCTAGCAATGCATTCCTATGGCCAAAATTATTATTTTTTTTGTATTCTGACACAGCTCCGTGTCAGAATAAAGAAAAAAAAAGAAAAAGCAGTGTTTCTCTCCTTGGCAGCCGGGAGCGGGAGACTCCCGGAGCGCCGTGAGAGTTTTTTCTTCTTCTTTTTGTTTGATGGCAGCAGAACCGCCGGCCAACTGTTGGGCGGAGCTAGCTGTCATTGCTAGCTCCGCACAATCATTTTCTATTTATTTTTTTCTACTTTTTAAACTATTTTTCTGTTCTGCTCGGTACCACAGAGGGACCGAGCAGAACAGCCGAGCTGAATGTCACTCAGCGGGATTCGGCTATTCACTCACTGCTGGCATCTATAAGAATAGACCGAACAGCAGCTTAGCCAATCCATATGTTGGATTGGCTGAGTGGAACTCCTTCTGCACTTGGGGTCGGCTGAACGTGCTGAGCATGTTCGGCCGACCCGAAGCCACCCGATGTACAATGATTTCAGCCGATATACGGTTGAAATCAGCCGTACCAGCCTGAAGTGAATAGCCGAACAGCGTTCGGCTCACTTCGCTTTAGGTCGTTAATTCACTTGTCTGCCTACGGCAGCTTAGTGAATAGACCCCATGGACTGCCCAAAACAGGTTAGAACATGCGTCTTCAATATGGGCTATTATTGCCAAGTTATAACTAACAGATTGTACTTATGATTTTCCTGGCCACTATCCCACACTGTTCTGCTTTGTCTTACTCTCAGCCTCCAGCCACTGGATTGCCGACTATGCACCACAACAAGTCCTGACTACCTTGCCTACCTGGACTGTCAGGGCCAATGTAGATTAAGGGAAATGGTACCTAGACCAACTACAACCTGCTCTCGTACATATGAGTAGACATGTGCGATTCGTTTTGTTCTGAATCGAAATTCGGATATTAGTATGTATCCGGATTCCGAATTACAGATATAACGAATGCAAACGGATCTGAATTTTAGTTTTTTGGACGAAATTTGGTTGCAGCAAAGTGACATTTGAGAACAAAAAAACGTTTTTTTCCTCTTAAATGTCACTTTGCTGCATCGAACAAGCGAATTTGGTCCGAATCCGAATTCCGAAACGAATTGCCTTTCGGACCCGAATTTCGACAAACAAAATGAAGCAAAATCTGAATCAAAACGAAACGAAACAATTTTTTTGCTGGAGCTCATGTCTACATATGAGCACAACCAAAATTTCTCAGTGAATTCTGACAAATGCTATGGACCAGTGGCAGAGTAAAAAATTGGATGTTAAAGTGTTAGTAAACCACCAACATAAAAGTCAAATAGTGGGCCCCAGGAAGTGTTTGCTCTAATGTGCTAGTATGCACAGCATATTAGTACATTATGGCAGACTTACCTTGCAGGTGATCCCCTTCTACATTGTGATGTCGGCAATCACCTCCATCAGTGGTGCTTTCATCTGGTTTTCTTTAGGGGTTCAGTGTCTTTAGCCTCTAGATGGGCCAGGCCGGGATGATGTAACTCCTGCGCATTGGCACCAAAGTTACTTCATCTTGGCACATGTGCTTCCTTAGCTTGTGCATGTGCAGCACAGTGCACACAAACATTGGCAGACAGGGAGGAGCAATTATGACAGAAGACACTGTATGTTAAAAAAGTACAGCCATTGATTTAGATTCAGGAGAAATTAAAGCCTAGAATATAACACATTCTAGTCATAAAAATGTTTTGTGGACAGGAAGCTCAAAATTCTAGGCTAATGCTCCATCTTCCTACACATCACTTCTCTGACCCTACCAATGTTGGCTCTGTTTACACTAAACTGTGTCATTGGAGAGGGTTGGGATTTTTTTTTTGTAATATCTAATTTTTGTTAAAAGACATGCATATAGACAGGATCACTGAAAATGCCTGTTTTGCCTCTGGATTGTGGTGCTCATATGGGTAATCTGTTAGTAAAATGCTACACTAAATGCATACACACAAACAAACAAATACTTTCCAGTTAAATTTACCAACATCTTAAATAACTTTCTAATTTATATACATTAGATAATTTTTAAACATGGTATTCTTTATTCCCTTCAATAACAGCCAGCCCTTAATATGGTTAAAAATGACTGCATGAGATCATCACATGTCTTTGAGTGGCCTAATCGTTACTCAAGATCGACTTCACATGTCTTTATACCTATAAAGAGCAAGTCTAGGCAATTTTCAAAAATCGGTCAGATTTGCTAATTCTTAGCACAATGCAGCTGTGCTAAGTTCAGAAAGCCTTATATAAACTATTAATCTAAATTTAGTGGGTTTTTTTTTACAGTGTTTTCAAGTAGGATGGTGGCCTCTCATCACATCATTCTGTGTTGTGCCGCCTTGGTGGAATAGTATAGTATCAGCCATAGGTAATAAGTAAGATAAGCAGATTAATGCTAGGAAGAATTGCCTTGGCAGGTAGGCTGTGTTCTTGTGAGTTTAATACAAAGATTGTGGGTGTTGGAGTGTACCTTAAAGAATGATAATTTGAAACTCAGGCTGTCCTGAAACCTCTGTTTCTCACTAAGGTTGTTACAGCTTTAGAATCTTTGGAATAACATCATAGAAAGTAGACAATGTTTTAAAAAAGGTTATAACCAACCGCATATCACCATTAAAGCTCCAATTTATATACAGTGATTTTTACTCACCAGCATGAGACAGAAGGAGAATTGTTCTTGAGAGACAGCTGAAGGAAGGGCTGCGATTTAATATTCCCTGTGCAGAGTGATCTCATTGAATCAGTACATTGTGCCGGCTGAAAAAATGGAAACCGTTGAGGCAAGAAAAGCAGCATTTTAGATTAATCCATGGACATTTAACACGTTTAAGAGAAGGTTTTGACCCACTGGACTTTTGGATGTGTGGATGAATTGTTTATGAATACCATCTGCACTGTGGCATTTGGCTGCCAGGGTGGAAAAGTTTCATTAGATTGTCACTGGAGGCTGTTTAAATGTTAACACAAAAATGGGAGGACAGTTGGCTGCATTTAAGAGATCACAGATATTCACGAAGAGTGAAGGCAACGTGTTAACCAATTGATAAAAATAGATTACAGTGATATGGCTTCCCTGAGGCTCATCACTCCTGGCAAAGGCACCTGCAATAGAGGCTGGCTATTTTTCTGGATAGTTAGTAGCCAAAGCAGTGAGGTACTATTAAAAGGCACATTAAGCAGCACATTATATTTAGTGTAGAATAGAGGTGAATCAATTTAAAGGTTAGGCATGAGGTAACAGACCACATTCATGTGTGTAAAGATCTGGCTGCCTTAGACATTCTTGAGTAAAAGGTAAACCATCCAGGAAGCAGTATTTAGCCGTGGTGTTAGGGAGCCAAGATACCAGACTGAAACTTAAAGTGTAGGTTTAAAATATAAAAGGAGTTTATTGAAAACAGCAATAAACATAAATGGCAAAAAAACAATAGAGAAGGCCCAGGACGTTGTCAGTGCCAAGCCAGGGGTCAGATGCTAAAACAGGTAGTCAGCCAAACCAGGTCAGGGAGCAGGGAGAGCATAATGAACAGAAACAAAGCTGGAGTCAGGAACCAGGAGATTAGTCAGCCAGAGCCAGTATCATACATGGAAATGAGCAATAACAGCAGCACACTTAGTTGATCAGAACAAACACAAGGGTGGAGCCTGGGTGGACAAGGTTGAAGGTAAAATAGTGAGCTGGTGCTTGCATCACTCTGAGGCAGGAATTAGCCAGGAGTTTGCCAATCACAGCAGAATGATGATGTTTGCGGGTTTGGACATAGGAGGGCACCAAAGAGCAACAGCAGTGTCAGAAACACTACAAGTCGAGCCTTCCTTGTCCAGGGACTGGACAAGGAAGGGTAAGAAACACTGACACCTGGGTCCATGTCTCTGAAACACATTATTCAATGGATTTTACAGCTGTCAGAGATCTAACTAGAGTGAGCTCCCTGTTTAGTTTCTGTGCCCAACCACCCCACCATAAAACCAGATAAGGGAATCGTCCTCTTGCTGCTGCACTCTCAAAACTGTAAAATATATGAAAAATCTGTGGCAAGAGTGAGCACTCTCACCCTAATGGCTCTTTCCAACTGACATCTCTGGTAAAGGCCAGATTGGCTGGTGTGCATGGGACCCTCTACGTGTCTATAACAACCTTTACTGGGACCTACTTGAATTGTATGTAAGGGCAAATCTTGTTATTGTTAGTTTTGGATAAATTAGGGAAGGGTTAAACCCTTTGTCAAGTTTTTATTTTTGTTTGTGTCTTTGTTAGGGAGATTTATTCCTGAAAGCCTGGAGCATCCTTAGACATTGAGAGAGAAAAGGAGGGAAAATCCAAATGGCTTAAGTTGTCATTAGAGCATGTTATGAGGGTAAATCACCCAATGAGGCCAAATGTTTTGGTGACAAGTGTCCAAGATGGTAATTACCCTCTCTTTGGGGAGATACCCTCCCTGTTCTGTTGTTTCCTAAGACCCTTCCTTACTCTATTCAAACATTTTTAAATAGAAATGCTTGTTACAATGTATAAAATCTAAAGTAAAAAGTAGTGCCATTTTATAACTACAGCTGATGTGAGTTTTGGTCACAGAAACAAATGCAGGCTGACATATTCTGTGTGCCAGGGCTGACATCACTGCGAAAACACTTTTAATAGTGTTTCTATATAGTTTGCTATCCAAATCACATTATGAATATCTAGAACCAGCAGAAAATGAAAAGAGAACCAATACAATTTTTCGATTTGCAACAAGAATGTGTAATGGAAATGCCTGTATATTTTACATTTTTCATAAATTCAACTATTTTTCCTTGTGAAAATAATGCAGTCTGCAATAATTTCCTTGTCAGTGGCCAGCAAGAGAAAAAGTTGCTTTGTCACTGGTCAGTATAAGGCGACCTGATTTGTATCTAACTTTGTCACTAATTTGTTTGATAAATCTCCCCCACATTATAGAACATATTCTAAAACTGTAAAGAAAAAAGTTTAATGGGACAGGTTGTGCTGAGGTGGCTTTACAGAAACAATAAGCTCTCCACTATACTACTGCATGGCTGAGAAGAGCCTCTCCATCTTTTAAGTCCAACCTCACCATAACCTGCCTGGTACTTTCTCATAGGTCCCCAAGCCCTACTTTATAGAAGCCATTGTTTTTACATGCTGCACTGATTACTAGTCTGAAACAGCTGTCTGCAATTAAGATTGAAATGGTTTATACTATTAAGCAGGCCACTAACCTGCCGAGAATCGTACGATTCTCGGCGGGTTTTCAAGCCTGCTTGTTCGACAGAAGACGTGCGACCGTACAATAGAAACGGTCGCACACCTTCCATACACTGTACGATTCTCGTACGATCGCGGGATTTCCCGCGATTCTCGTATGAGAATCGTACAGTGTATGGGCACCTTTAGGCTATATCTGTAATATAAATCAGAACTTTAGGATGCACAGCTGTCTGGGGGGCACAGAAAATGATTTGCATGGTTCTTCTCTCTCTACCAAAGGAGAAAAAACCCACTTATTTTTTAGATGTGTGTTGGAAGTATGATTGGTATCTTCTTAAGAAGACTCTTTTGCACTCTACATTGGTTCAGTGGAGGGCTTTTTGGTTTTATTAAACAGACCCTGTTTTTAATTTTATTATTTTTATCATTTTGCTGCTTTGGAAAATGCAAGTATAATATTCATTTTAAGTTCTTTCAGTGAATTTAACTTTTATGTTGCTTTATAGTGCTAGAATCTTCCCAATCCAACACCTTTGGGTGGTTCAGATGCCTGCACCTACCCACTGCCTGCTGTTGCTGACCTCATCAGTGTACCGCTGTCCTTCATTGCTTAGCCACAGGCTTGGGTGGGAGCTGAACAAGGCTGCATTTCTTAAGTGTAGTGCAGGCTGCAGAGAAGTCCAGAATCTGACTGTGTGACTGGGATTCGTAGATCTTAAGACTGGCTAAATAGTATCACAAAATTTCCTGATAGAACAGTTTAATTATATATTTTTACTGTGTGCTTGGAGCTTACCTTTGGGAGAACTAATATGGGCCCCCTTACACGAGCTAGATCCATCAGTGATCAGAACAAACGCAAGGTAACCTAAACATAAATAAATAAATGCATAAATACATATACGTTGTACACATTTACATAATCACTTCAAATGAACTACTATTTGATTTTTTTGTGTGTTTTTTTTTTTTATAGTTCAGTCAGCACAATCCGAAATCAGCGGTATCATATCCATGCCAACCTCTCCTTTGCCATTTTGGTTGCCCAGATCCTGCTACTGATCAGCTTTCGTTTTGTTCCTGGAACGGTATGTACATAACTTATTTTAAGATAAATGATAACCGTTTTTTTTTTAAAACAGCTTAGATAATGATACTACCAAATATAACATGTAGGGAGACAACAGTCGGCAAATAAGAAACATCAAACACAGTTTATATTATGTAGGGAACATTTCATTAGTGCTAATGGTAGCAATTCCACTTGGTTCACAAGTAAAGTGACTCTAATTCCAAGAACAAAATTTTAGATGTGGTGGCTGCATTGATTTTCTTTCTAGGCATTGCTTCCTTTATTTTCACCTGGTGGGGGGGAAGTGTTCTTTTACATACCTGATTCTCGTTCCCGCTAGCTCTAAGACCAGCACCTGCAGTCTCTTCCCTCCTCCACTGCAGCAGCCAGAGGCTTCCTGACGTCTTCACGTACAATGTGTGGCCCAGAGCCATGAGCTGGAGTGTAGGAGGGACAAGGTGAGCCCTGACTGCCAGGGGAACCAGAATCAGGTAAGTAAAAGTCCTCTTTACAGTACCCCTAGACAAAAATGAGCAGTTAACCCTTACAGTGTGGGGGTACCACCAATACACAGGCAGTTTTTGTCCCTTAAGATAGGCTTTAACAGATCAAAAGCTGGCAAGTAAAATAAGTTAATTCTTGGTTTACATACACTTTAATTTTAATCTGGTATTATCTCTTGCAGCCAGATTGATTAGGCTTTTGACTGTGTTTTTAGTCAAGACTGCATGAATCCTTGCTGGGCAACCTTCCTCTCATGCACCAGTGTGTGTGAGGTAGGCCATAATAGCTTAGCTTATGTAGCACTTACCCCCAAAGGAACCTCTGTGTTAATTTGGGCCCTCCTAGCCTGTTTAGAGTATGGAGTTTGATAGCTGTCCCAAAGCACTCATTGACCCACCAGTGGCGACCGAGTAACTATCTTCCGCGCTGCTAATATTTTGTTTGCAGATAATTTATTTAATACATTCGGCAGAGAGGATAAGGGCACTGGACACTCATGATCTTGAAGATTCCAGCAAGAGGACAAAAGTGTCTTCACAGATAAAAAACCTTTCAGCTTCCCCAGGGGAAAATGTATTACAACTGGAGCAGAAAGAATCTGGAGCAGTTGCCCACAGTAACCAATACGCTTCTCATTTCAGTTAAGCTTTTAAAATGAAGGAAAGAAGCTGACTGGTTGCCATGGGCATCTCCTCCAGATTCTGTCTGCTCCAGTTTTGATAAATTCCCCCCTATGCAGCTTATAATTTAGTATTATATTAACAACATCAGACACAGATAGTTAACAAATGCATTTTTTTTAGATTCTATAGAAACTGTGTTTGTGCATCTTAGAAAAAAATGAATGCTGGAATGTAAGCTCTATTTAGTAGAAAATGAGGTAGATATTATTTTTACTCAGAAAAGCTGAGTTACGTGCCATCAGACCAGCCAAGCTCAAGGCTGGGGCAGGACCCCAGTGACATTTTGACTACTAGGATTCTGAAAGTTGCAATAACACATCTGTTGCATATTACTCATATAGCACACAGTTCAAATTGTTGAATTTGCCATGCATCGGTTGAAATTTCCTGGTTTAGTCTGAAATTTTGGACTTTTGGTACTGATCTGGTGAGTACTTTGGCGCTTTATCTTGGTACTTGAAAACACCAGCCTGTCAAAGTTTTCTTACATTAACTGCAGTTTTTTTTCCTGCAGCCACCAATCAGATTCAGGCTTTCAGTGCAAGTCTGATGCTGAGGAAATGTAACTCCAGTTGTTAATAGGGACACATTAATACAGAAGGCCCTACGCCTTGTGCTTACATTTTTCACCTTAATGCATTACTTCCCAGTGAGCCATACTCCTCACTTCAGCCACTTTGAGTGAAGAATTCATGCAATACTCCTGGTTTAGAGGAGCATGTGATGACCCCCCTTCTTTTTCATGTGACAATGCTGGTGATTGGCACAGAACTGTCAAATGTGTTTGAGAGAACAGTGCTTAGCCATGTGTAAGCTCTGACTAGATCCACTCAGAGCTTACACAGGGATTTTCTTTCCAGGAAGTGATTGAAAATCCAGCATTGTACAGTTGTCGCAAGAACAAGAGATGAGGGAAATTTTTATGATGGCTATCTATAACGCAATTTAACTTGACTTTTGATGGGGTTCCTCTCGCTTTCTGTTGTGTCCACAGGACAGAAAGTGAAGGTGAATGACAGCAAGACCGAATTTTTTTTTGGGGGAGTTTTGACTATTATCTAAAAGAAATTTGGGCTATAGATGCACTTTAAAGTAAATAATTCTCACAAACACAACATAATACTGTACATTCTGTTAATAGGATTCCATTATGTCTAAGAATGGAAGTTGTAGTCAGCTGCAGAGCTGTAGACACACACAGCTTCATGCAGTTATGTATGTGCATAAATACAGCATTGCACATGGTTTCCTGCACCGCTATCGATCTGTATGTTCTGTATACTTCAAGTGTGAACTTATATAGGACAAATACATTCAGTTTTATGAAGCTGAATATTTATCAGCCCTTCTTCGTCACAATATAAAAGAAAAAAAACAGACAATACGTAAATTGCAGCATAAGGTAAATTGAGCTAATGATTGAAAATTGTATACCTGGTTTTTGGACAGTTTGGTTACTTTTCACAGTTTTTTTTAGATCAAATATCACACTGACTTTGTAGTTTGTTTAATCCTACTATAATGTCAAAGTAACACAGAATTGGAACACGCCATCACTTGACATTTAAGACAACAAAACTGCAATTTTTGTTTGTACAACTTGAGCCCCCACCATTCCCCATTTTTAAAGCAAACCCTGGCAAATAACTGCTAAAAATACAAACTTGGAAGTAAAATGTATCTAAATGAGCCAAAATAAATGTTTGTTGCACAAACCAATTGTATTTGAAGTCATCTGGCCAAATGTAGCATAACTAAATATCAAGGATCCAAGGAGATTCAATAAGCTCTTTGGAGAGCTGCGGCCAAAGCTTGTATGTCGTAATGTTCTCAGTCTGCCAAAACCAAGGAGGCAATAGGCTCCATTTACCAAGTATTCTATTCAGCTGTCCCCAAAGCATGACTTACTCCCACATTGGCTTAATTACTTAAACTGGTTGGTGTTATTTTGTGCTTAGATATACAATCCATCTTTCCAAAGGGGATGTTGTCAGAATAATTTATTAAACAAATGACATTCTGGTCAGAAACAATATGGCTTTAAGCTGTTGAAGAAAAGTCACATAACTATGCGCAGGGTTCCATTTCTAATTGCTATTGGCAGCACATATGTTCTACATTAGTAAAAGGGCACACCAGATGCTCAATTCATTCTACCTAACACATCTTCTGTATCAAGAGTAATGGGGATTTCACTAAATATGAAACGTGGACATACTTCTTACTAATCCTAACTTGCCTACTAATTCTAGCTTTTTTGAAGCTCTTGAAGTGTATGTCTAGACCACATAAAAAGCATATTCAGTACATCACTGCAATGCATGCCATTACCACATGTTTTGTCTCTTAAGCCTCTCACACACAGCCGCATGAAGGCTATACAGCCTACATACTGGCGTATCGAAGGAGAGAAAGGTGGATACAGCTGTTTGCAGCCAGCCTGTGCAAATCAATGGCAGGTTGTCTGAAGTTGTACTGGTATATAAGCAAAACCCACTGTTTAAATGCATACCCCGCCATACCCACTGCAGTTCCAGGCAGTGTGTAAGTCCTGGTATTCATGTAAACAGATGGATTGGTGTATATACCCGTGCAGCCATGGCTTCAGCCAACCTGTCCTTGATTTGTACAGGCTGACTATGGGGTCTATTCACAAAGCAGCTGAAGGATCTAGCCGTAACTTCGGCCGATCCTTCGGCTTGCTTCGGTCCCAGGACTCATTCGGTTCAGTAGAACCGAAGGGCTGCTGCACGGGCTATTTACTATAGCCCGTACAGCTCCTGAACGTGGCCGAGCGGCTCAGTCGAGCCGAACGCATATTCCTCGGCTCGGCTGAGCCGCGCTGAAAGCAGCAGAACTGCTGGCCAATAGAAAACAGTTGGGCGGAGCTAGCTGTCACTGCTAGCTTCGCCCAATTGTTTTCTATTTATTTTTTCTACTTTTTTAACTATTTTTCTGTTCTGCTCGGTCCCACAGAGGGACCGAGCAGAACAGCCAAGCCCAATGCCGC